CCCCAAATTTATGTCTTTGTTGCTATTTTTTGCATCAATACTTGCCTTCAGATTGCTCTCCCTTCTCAGTGTTATTTTCCCTTTTGCCCATGTTCTTAGAAATTGTATTTTCAGCCTTTTCTGTTAGACACTACAAAGTTATTCTGTATCTTTTCATATATAAATCTTYTTTTCACCTTCACTATGGCTCTGCTTTGCAACCTTTCTGTGCTAACTGCTGCATGAGCAGTTTTGTGTTCCAACATTCAGCTCTAAGTTATCACAAAAATGATGACACAATGCCTGACAACACAATGAGCATTTTTCACATTACAATACAGAGAGACAATGCATGACAATATGATGYATTAGGTCTTTAAGAAAATGAGTAAAAGAATGTGAATATAGAGTGTTCATATAAAACAATCTTTCAAATTACTTAGATAAAATATAATCAGCTATGTGGAAGTCTTCCAAGTGATATTTAGAGATTTTATTSTTATATTCATCCTTAGCTAACTGGCTTTTTTTCAGACATCCTTAAATCCTCGCCCTGTTCAGAGTTTCTAAGCCTCTTTTTCTCTCCAGCTCATGCAGGCATATATGTCCCATTCTTAGAAATGGACAAAATGTGAAAGATTTMAACAAAATCACTAATCTCAAACTTAAAGTTCCACCAAAATGACACAAATTTCCAGCACAAATACAGCTTGAGTTATCAGGCAATGGATATARAATCAACTCCTGAATTTCTGGAACTTCCATGAGTATTACTGCTTGTTGCAATAAAAGGTGATTATTTTTCTTTCCAAAGGACTCCAAGGAGCCCTTGGGGAATGTTCAATGGAAGAAGGAACATTACCACACCCTTCCTGTGCACACACGTGGCTCATCTCCCTCCCAGATGCAGTGGTCAAAGGGTGGGCAACACACTTGTGCTACACAAACACTTTTTACTGATCTTTCTGCCACAAAAGGGTCTGGTGTCATTTCTACTCATTCCCAGTGGTAGAATAAGCCCAGTGCTCCAGTGCACCATTCCATTTAGCCTAAGACAGGCATCATACCTAACCTCCCCCATGGTTTATTAAAACTGGATAGAAAAGTGTTACACTCAAAGAGAATATTCTTCTTGTGTGACAGAAGGACAGAAAATCAATGAATCACTTCACATAAAGATAATGTATGGAAATGCTTTATGCCAGGTTTACAAGTTTTCAAGGTTTTGACTGTCTTTTTGGTTTTTTTTTCACAAGGAAGGTTATCCGACAGTTCATGTCAATGTTGCTGTAATCCCCAGGTAATCAACTGATCAGATTTTTTTCTCAACATGTTCTACTGTCTGACACATTTTGACACATGGCAGAAGAGCCTTCTCTGGTTCAGACAATCAACATTCAATTGTTTTGTGTGAATTGGAAATATTTTAAAAACAGACCATAAGCCCCTCATCTCAAAATGCCTGACAGACTCACTGACAAGTGGGGTCAACATACCTGTAGACAAATCAGGAAACTGAATTGCACAYATTCTGGGTCAGTTTTGGGTAATTTGTTTGCTTGTTTGTTTGATTGTTTTTTAGCCACTTGGCTAGTAGGTAAGAGGGCTCAATCTGCCGCAGGTTTTGTTCAACTACAATGCACATTTTTCAATTCCCCCAGAAAAATCAAAAATCAGTTGCTGGCACAGCAACTGTTGTAAAGGCACAATGGCTGAATGGGGAATTCAAGAAAATAGCTAAAATAAGCAGAACCTTCTCTTTTTTCTGCTTAAGTCAGACTTTAGGCTCTCTTTCCAGGCAGAGATTAGTTCAGCAGACACAATTGAACATTGCAGTGTTCAGTCCACGAACAGACAGACACACAGGTTTAGCTGAGAAAGTGGGAATAAATTTTAGCTTTTCCTTTTCTCTTAAATATTAACTAAGGCAAAGTTAAAGGAAGACATTTCACATGTACCTAAACCTGTCTATCACCATCCAAATTTCCAAGAAGCTGCACATTATTTACTCATTCTGTATGTAAAGGCATTGCAAATCAATGCATTTATTCATGATGCATAACCAGAACAGCAAAAATACTCTCTGGAGATRCTGAAATTGAGCTTTTACTTGTTCCCCTTGTTTTGTTTTCTCCGTTGATTTTTGGCTTTTTGCTTTTTGTCTCTTTAGGAGTGAGAACAAATCCCCTCACTTTTTTCTATTTACTCATTGCTGGATGACAATTCTTCATTTGAAATGTATATTTATTTCATGTCCAGCAAATAACTTCACTTGAGTATAATTAACCAAATATATACAATGGAGGAACTGTCCAGACAAGCATGGGTCCTTAAGCTATAGAACAATAAGTGATTTTTGAAGGGTAATTTTCTTTCAGATCACAGATTGATGGTATTGAGCATAAAGGCCCCTTTAATTTTTGGAAAGTGAAAGTTTTCTGCTGTTTGTGTCTTGATAAAAATGATGAGGTATCAAACTCCATACATGCCTGAACATACCTGTTGCTTATATTACTGTTTCAGTGCTGAAAAATAAATGCAAGCTGAAAAGCTGAGTTCAGAAAAATGAAACAAATAAATTCCCTCCACAGTTTGTAGTAACAGCTGATCATCGCTGTAAAGGAGCAGATGAGACTCATGCATATGCATCAGAAAATGGTTTACACAACATCTAAGCTATTGAGAAGGTATTTGATGTTCTAACAAGAGAGAAAATATTGTATTTTTAAAGGCAATTTTATACTCTAGAATGTTAAAACAGTGTATTTATAAACTCAGTTCCTCATGTTATTTATTATCTTCAGATGAGATAATTTTTCCAAGTACTGATAGCTCAATGAACATGAACTAAATTCATCCTAACTTAAGATTTGTACCTCTAGAATCATTACAGCACAGTTTGTACTGTAACTACAGGAGAAATGACGATACTGAGCATTAGTTGACAACAGTCCCTGTTTAACCAATACAAGCAAATGGCAAAATTTCTACAAAACGCTAAAAGTAAAAAACAATGCAGCTTTATAATAACGAATATATCTTAATTTTCTCAGGGAAAACCCATTTTACTACCAGAAAGGTGGAAAAGTTATTCCTGAACTGCAGTMTTGTCTCATTAAACTATCAGAGTGCTACAAAAGAATACAAATTGTGAAATTTTCCTGCTAAAGAGATGTCATATCGCTCAGAAGGTGGCAATAAGAAAGACCTGTTCATTCCAGAAAAATCTGGGTTGATAAAGGTTTACAAGAAAGTTAAAAAGGAGGAAGGGGATCAGTTGCTCTGTTTCTGCAAAACCTAGAGGTTATCACACAAAGAATAAGAAAAGATGAGAGGTGGTAGGCATGTAGTTTCCTTTGCCAAAGAGCGCTAAAATTCTGCTGTTTTAGACAGAGAATTAGCAAATGCACTAAAGACTATGAAAGTATYAGAATCTATGCCCCAGAAGGACCCTAAGCTGAAAGGAATGTGCACTGGTTCTCAAAAAATATCTCACCAACTTTGCCCTGTTTCAAAAAGCAGTGCATGCAAARTGGACTTTTTGGCAATATTTTCTTTGTTCGGACAAAAGCATATATGCTCTCTTTTGATTCAATCATCTTAAAACTTTGCCAATTGTGGAAGTTGACCAGCTAAAAGGTAGTTAAGCAGTTCAGAACTCCTAAGCCCCTCTAAAGGGAACAGAGAAGTTTCATGGAAGATAAATTTCCCCCGTTATAATAACTAAAGCTAAAATATTACTATTGATTGCAGAGATATCAGAGTATGATTGCTCACAGCTTCTTCTCAACAGCTGAAGAGTCAATTACTGAGCTTTTAATTGAAAGTAATTCACTGATAAGTGCTACTGAGRTATTCCCACTATTGTCAGACATGACAAATGTTTGAACACACAGAGGCCAGCTAGGTAACTGCTGGCACACTGTTAATGTTCTTTGGCTTTAACAGCACTGAGCACATGAAAATCACAGCAGAAGCTTTAATTTCAAAGAATTTCTGTAGAAAGCGGTAATATCTGACAAGAGCTGCTTGTCCTGCATGTATCTGCAGGCACTTTGCCCCAAAGAGATTGCAAAGCACAACACAAATCTTGAGTAGCATCAGTAAAGAGAAGGAAGCTAAATGAAGAAAATCAGAATCCATTTTGAAGGATGGTGAGGTGAAGAAGTAGAGGGTTAATCTTCATATGCTGAATATGTAACATGTTAAAAACATATTGATCTGCAAGTTCTAAAAATAGGTGGAACGTATCTGTAATAGGGGGAAAAAACTAGTTTTTTTTCAACAGAGATTTTGAAAGAACCCAATGGTAGATGTCACAAATAGCTGCACTTAGACATGCTGAGCCCTTGAAACACCAGAAGAGAAGATTTAAAGAAGTTTCAAGTCAACATTTGACCTTCTTAAGGTATTTAAAATTCAAGAACAGTTCTATTCCACAGAATTCTTCAACACACCACCCTCTTGCACCCAGTCTCAGTCTAGGAAACATATATCAGCAGTACARTGGACTTAGCTGAACCTGAGATTTGTCCTTACAGAAGAACAAAGGGATTGCTATTTTTTTTTCAGTATTTTGCACAGAAATTAGTGAAAACTCTTTTCCCAGAAACAAGGGGAAAAGAAATATCTTGGTCTTCTCATTTTTCTCTAAAGCAGCATATTTTCTCCTCAGCTTTTTGAAAGAGGATCTACAGAATTACAGCAATATTTCATTAGTCACATCAAACATCAGCAACTCTTTATTTTCCCAAATAAACCACAATCAATCACTTAGACCACTTTAGTGGTGAAGCTCTATAAGCAGCTGATTAATGTTTAATGTGAAACTCCTTACAAAGAAAAAGGAGCAATATATAATGCATAAAAAACCTCTGAAAACTCAAGGGAACAAAAGTCTTACTTTCTGGTTTACAGACAAAATGAAGTTCTGTACAAGTGATTTGCTAATATAATGCCAGTGCAAAAACAGCTGTCCTTAGATGGAAAAAGGAATATGAAAAAAAATAAAATAGACATACCTGGTCCAATGCAGAATGAWGCAATGATTGCAAGGATGCAAAATATACTGAGGTAAGGAAGCCAATGCACAGAGTTCTGGGTAGATAAAAGACATTCATTTTAAGCACATTGTATGKATCAAAATTATTTTTTAAAAACTCACGGATAATAGTGTTTTCCATGATTCTTTATTTATTTCAGAATTTAGTCTGGGKTTACTTTAGAAAA